ATATATATATATATATATATATATATATATATATATATATATATATATATATATATATATATATATATATATATATATATATATATATATATATATATATATATATATATACTAACCACAAGCTTTCCACTGTTATCGGTTACGTTGTGGAAGTTCTTGCCATCAGAACTATACCCGACATAATATTTCGAGATGTATTGCGGATAATCGGTTTTATTTCTTCCTTGAGTGGCAACTCCAGTAAGAACAAACTTTTCGCCAAGATCAACCTGAATATAGAGAACACTTGTACAAAATCAAATCTGAAACGGTGAGATGTTCTCATAATCACAAAGTCTTATAGTATCTCATGGTACACGCCAACAAATACACGCTATCAAGGTTATATGAATGAAATATAAAACAAAATCCGAAAAATCAAAACAGCTTGAAAACCCAAGATATGGACTAAAAGAAGACCTAAATTTTAAAAATTATACTATTTCAGATTTACGTCTTATTTTAAAGATTAAAGCCTTGGGTCTTTGAGATGTTTTCCATTGTTCGGATCAGTTGTTTCATATGTATGACTTTGATTCATAATCAAAGCAAAGCCAATTAAACCTCAGCTCAATTTTTTGACACGTCAAAATAAATCTAAATAACTTGTTTACAGGGCCACGTAGAAGAGCCTGGGTACGAGGTTGGGCCGCACACTAATATACAGGAAGTAGACAAAAACGTCCCCCCCCCCCAATATAAAATGGCATACCTTGTTCTTTGTCACCATATATAAGTAAAGTAGATGTTAGTATAAAAGTTATGTTGTGTACGTACTTGCATGTGGATTTTCTACTCTAATTTAAAGATAGCTGTTTCGAGCCAGTCGATAATTCTTGTAGATTTTTACATGCGCATGTGATGGAACTTTTCCACAGATTCAAGTATTAGGAATAACATTTTTGTTACTGTTGGTTCATAGACCCAACTAGCTCAAAGAAAACAGCATTTGCATCAAACTGTATGCATTGAAATGGTTTATACTGAAAGATTAAAACATAGCCACACCATTGTACTGCTATACGTATACAGTAATTGTGGAAGTCCACTTTTGTTACCATGCGCACGACAAATACTTAGAGAACTGCATTCTAGAAATTCAGTGCCCTGAAACTGAATATGCGCACATAAAATTATAATTAGATGAGCTATATATTGGGGTTTTATATAATTTCACATTTGGACCATTTTCTTAGTAAATTGTGGATATTAAATTTTTTGTGCATTTTTGGTCCTAAAACCGCCATCTTGAATGTTGAAAAACTCCCTAAATGCATCTAAACTTCTAATGTGTGACGTAGTATAAAGAACATTTGTCAATGAATTGTCTTACTGCATAATTTGTAAACAACTACATAATATATAGGGGGTGGACATAAAATGACATACCTGGTTCTTTGACACCATATATGATGAAGGTGTTAATAAAAGTTAAGCCCCGTTTACACGAGCAATTCATCCACACGAGCAAAATGTCTTTGACATATGAAATTTGTCAAATAAAATTTGCTTATGTAAATGGGGCTTTACGTACTTGTGCAGCTGTATGCGTGGATGAAAATGTTGATCCGGGACGACGAGGTTAATTAGCGATTAAACGTCACGTTTGCAGCCAAATTTTCGTGGCAGAATATTTATTCAACTTCTTTGTTTGATACATTGCAGTTTTACAATAACAAGTTCATACTATTTATTGCCCAAGCCTTATAGTATAAATTTTATTTGCCTGCTGTTTGTCGTTTGACGTGTAGACGCAAAGCTTAAACTCGCTGATGTTTGTGACTGTGGTGCACCGTGGAAAAAGCGATGGCTACATAGAATACTATAATTATTACTATTATATATAAATTACAAATCTAATTATAAATCTATCATTAAGACATACAGGTACCTACCTGAATATATTCACCAGCAACATGTTTTGCAGCCATCCAAACAGTGGCACCTCTGTTGTTATTTAATCTCGCATTTTTAGCTCCATGCCAGCTTAATGGAAAGTTGAACGTTTGTATATTAAGTGTTTTTTATATTATAATTTGCGGGAACAACTCTATAGTATACAGTTCAAAACTACAAGATATGTCAAACTCGCAAGCTAGATCCGAAGTTCTTCCTCTCTGAGGCCTTTGGAGCAGTACTATTACTGGATAATCGTTGTAATTGGTATATAACCGAGATAACTAAAGTTCCCTTATATTAAACAACAGAAAATTTGTCCGTACATTATGCCAAATTTGAACAGTGAACATTTTACAAATCTCGAATGACACGTAAGGAAGCATGATATGATTCCTTAAGATTCTCCCATAATGTATGTCTGAAAAATTGAAAATGTTCCTCAATCTTCTTGGTGAATGTTCCTCAGGTTTCATGCAGGATGCCGAGACCACACTGTTTTCCAGGTCTGCATGCATGGAACCTATATAGCCTTACTATCTATATATATATACAGGATCTACGAATGAAAAATCACTATATGTACTGTCTACCTGTTGTACTGGGAGGATGCACTCAAACTGCTATCAGGTATTCTTCCATCTTCTAATCCCATAGGCTTATGACAATTATATTCTAAAATCAAAACAGAAAAATCAAATTTTGTATAGATTTGTATAACAGTATGGTATGGCCCGGTCAGAAACGTAGCCTAAGCAAAAAACGCGATATATATATATATATTAAACTTTAAACCCTAAGCGCGCAAAGCATGATGGGAGCACTGATTTCAAGCTTAGTAGTTGATTATTGCAGCTGTTTGTCAGTGAAATGTTTTTGCAGGGAGATTTTTATCATGTCTCCAAGAAATGGGCTCCATGTATGCTTTCTAAACTGCTTAAATTGTGCTCCCATTATGCTTTACGTGCTTAGAGTTTAAGGTTTAAGGTTTTAGAGTTTAAGGTTTCAAAGGACAACCTTTATTGAATTATATATATATATATATATATATATATATATATATATATATATATATATATATATATATATATATATATATATATATATATATATATATATATATATATATATATATATATATATATATATATATAAGTATATATATATATTTATCACATACTTGTACCTTGATCAGGTAGGAAGCAGCGGGACATAAAAACGATATCGTCCCGGATATCGTTTTTTGTCCCGGATATCGTTTTTTGTCCCGGATATCGTTTTTTGTCCCGCTAAATTTCGCGCCTTGTCAAAACAAAGATGGCCGACTCGAGGTTCGTGTTGGTTGATGTAGACAGTTTTATCGAAGGAAACAAGAACGATAATACAAAACGAAAGACTTAAATTGTATATTATTTATATGAATGGTCTATTTATTTTCTAAAATCATATTTGTTCAGTAAATGATGAATTGTTTTGAATTCTAAAATGATCCTATTTTTTCAAAACTGTTTACTTTTGGGTGTCAAACCCTGATAAAGGTACAAGTATATAATAAATAGGTTATCGTACTCGGGATTCGGTGATATCAGTTTTATCGCTCGAGGGATGATATCACAACCTATATATATACGTCAGCTATTTTGAATTTTCTTGGGTTAATTATGCGCGAACGCATACATCAAATGTTGCTCGCAACGTATTGTATATTGCAATTCCTACTAGCCTTTATGATTATGTGCAAAGACATCAATCAACGATTCTTTTATTCATTTCAGCTGTTGGAATAATATTGCAATATACAATACGTTGCGAGCGAAATTTGATGTATGCGTTCGCGTATAATTAACCCAAGAAAATTCAAAATGCCGACATATATATATATATATATATATATATTCGAAGGTCAAACTTTTCTGGATCCAGTGTGTGTATATATATATATATATATATATATATATATATATATATATATATATATATATATATATATATATATATATATATATATATATATATATATATAAAAATATCAAGAAATCAAAAACTTCAAAGTAATTAAATTATATTTTTTACGTTTCGGGGACAAGCCCCTTCTTCAGAATAACGCTACATCATCTCCGTCTCTTGCTTAAATAGTCTAACGTTTAGCTATGCATAAATTAATTAAACCTCTTCCCTTAAATTAAGCCCACGTGGGACATAACTATTAAGTTTCTCAATCCAAAAACTCTCCCTCTCGGTGGGGGTATTAACGTCCGTGACGTCAATAACCTGCACTAAAAAATCACTTAGACCTGAATGTCCCTCCCCCCAAAAAATGGGCATACAAATGTTGCCCACAAATATTTCTCTGCCCCCGCCCATATCTATTTAATGCACTCTTGTGGTTATTAAATCGCAATCTGAACGGTGTTATGGTATTCCCCACATATTGCAACCCACAGAATTTACAACTAATCAAACACACTATACCTGCCGAGTCACAATCGAAGCGATGATTAATGCAGAAAGACCGCCCCTCAACATGGCTTTTAAAAGTAGCACCAATACTGACATTGTCACAGATTTTACATTTCTTCTTTCCGCACTTAAACATCCCTACGACCGTTTCCTCTTCCCTTCTCAATTTAGAACGGACTAAGTGATCTTTAAGGTTTTTAGACCGACGAAAACACACCATTGGTGGTTCCGGCATAATACTTAAAAACCTTTCAGACCAACTTACAATTACTTGCAATTCCCTAAAGATATTATAAAGGACCCTAAATGCTGGATGATAATCTATCACAAAACAGTTCCTATTACTATTCTTAACACCTTCTTTCCGCATTAACAAATTATTCCTGTCGACTTTTCGCACTCTACCAAACTGGTCATCAACAAAATCCGAATTATAACCCCTCTTCACCAAAAAACCTTTTAGCTCGCTTAGTTTTTCCTCAAAAGCATTTTCCGAATTACAAATTCGCTTTAAGCGCAAACCTGGACTATAGGGAATCGCTCTCTTGACATGTGGTGGGTGACAAGATTTAAAATTCAAATACTGATGTGCATCAGTAGGCTTAGAATAAACATCAGTATGGAACGCACCATTAACTTTATTAATCCACACATCAAGAAAAGCAATTTCCCAAGTAAACTCAATATTCTCATGAAATGAATTCAACTTACTGAGGAAATTGTTTAATTCCTCCTCCCCGTGAAGCCATATCATGAAAACATCGTCCAAAAAACGCCACAAAGCCCAAGGTTTAAGCTCGCAAGAATCTAATATATATACATATATATATATATATATGTATATATATATATATATATATATATATATATATATATATATATATATATATATATATATATATATATATATATATATATATATATATATATATATGAAAGGTTCGATTTCGTACTTTATAACGGAAGATACGAAATGCAGCATGCAGTATACTGTATGATATTGAAACAGTTTCATGCAACTGCATGCATGTTGTATACGTAACGAAAATATATTACTTTAAAACACAACATACCTTGCGAAGAAAGCCGAAAAACTAAGAAAATGTTTACAACCAAATACAATATCCTGTGCGCCATTGAAATTTCCTTTTCGAAAAATAAAGGAGGCAACTTTTATGGTCTAGTTAAAACTTATGTCTGGCAGCGTTAGCTCTTGGCAGAAAATGCAATGAATGCGCAATGACTTTGCAAGGAATCATGTCTGAAAAGAAGATTAAACCATAATGTATAAACACAGGTGGGCAAACAAATACAGTATAGAAATGCTGCATAAGAGAAATTAATAGATTACATACAATTATAGAAATCTTTTATATAACATGCGTCGATAACGAAACAAGTTATCTCAGCATTTATATTAAACCTTCTATATAAAGAACCAATTCAATTGGCAAAGCACTATTTTTTTTTTCGCTGAAAGGTGTAATCCTAACGTCATATACTACGGCAATTGTTTATTGGAAGAAAACAGTTTAATCTTTTTGCATTTCGTGCATGGTAAATAAAGTTGTTTGTTTTCAATGAATACCAAATCATGGACTTACACTTGAGCCCATCAATGCATTTATAATATCAAGGACATTCTCCTTTTACGGTTTTGCGCAAACAACCTGAGCTAACAAATCAAAGAAACCGTTAATTGTATTTATTTTGGGTGCAAGATCGAACAAATCATAGTTAATAGAATATGAGCATGGTTTAGATAGGTCGACGAAAACAATTGTTCTACCTTTTTATTCATCGTTTATGAATTATGGAAATCTTTGCACTTTCTGCACATGCACGAAATGAATCCATCATCCAAAAGAAACCTAATACTAAGACGGGTAAACTTTGTTTATACATTTCATGTAAGTTTGCCTGCCAATATGCGCGGACATAAAATTTTGAATAGTTTTGCGACGTGACAGCACAACTCAAGCGCGCTAATGCATTCAAAATAGCCTGAGCGCGCTATTTCACACGCAGGAAAACGGAAAGCAGCTAGCGCGGTTTCAAAAGTAGGGTGGTGGGCATGGGCATCTCACTGATCTCAAAATATGGCCGACTGCCAGGAGTGGAATGAGACAACTGGCAAGATTTTGAAAACATATGGGACAGTCGTTTCATACCATGAGCTGTATAATGCGATTTTTAAAATTTTACTTTAAAGAAATGACAATTATATAAGAGGTATAAACATGTTATGTGCGTTGTTTTCGGGTTAACTAAAATTAATTACCTTATTTTATATTGAAAAACTAATTGAACCGTATGATTTGAACTGATTTCATTTCAACTAATAAAAAGACTAACGGAACAAAGCCAAAAGGCATAGGTTATATAAAGTTAAATGAACATTTTATAATTGAAGCGTCCAAGGTTTAATTTTACACTTTAAATTTAAGCTTATAAAATTCAAAATAACATAGCTACCTACTTTATATAATTATAGAAATTAATAGTTCTAGAGTTAGCTCCATTTATTTTTTGCTGTTTTGCACAAAAAATGAAAGGTTAAGAAACCATGCATGATCATGTTGCCATTGCAAACAATGACGGCCGCGAGCAAATGCATGAGCCTGTGTTCAGTGTTGGCGTAATTTAATTGAAACAATGTTTAAGAAAAATTGTTAATTGAAACAATGTTTAAGAGAATAAAGACGTGTGTATAGTAGTTATACATGTGGTGTATATGTAGTTATAAATGTAAATATGATGCGTTCCAGTGTACAAGAGGGTGAATGCTATTTCAGATACGGTATAGAGCACCAAGTCCCCAGCCGACGCGGCCTCGAAATTCAAAATGGGGCCAAGCTGAGGAGTTGAGTTTATATTTTTCTTCTCTTTGCCTTTGGTTGACAGAGCCATATTGTGAAATGCTAGGTATCTTACTCTTATCTGAGAGGTTTTAAAACAGAATTTTTCTCAAAATAGTTAAAGTTAAAGTTAATGTATATTTTATCTGCATATAGTGAACTATATGGTTCTTGAATCTTCACTTCTTGATATTACTGTATTGAATGTAGTGTTATCATGTAGTGTAACGTAATGTGACGTAATAGAAAGTGATATTTAATGCAATTGTCTTAAAGTGAAACAAATACAATAAACAAAGGCACAATAAACACAAGAAAAATGTCGGAATAAAATGTTAATAAAACAATGCGAACAAAACTCAACTTTACATTATATACAATAATAATTTCAATAACGCAATAATTTTATGTTACGTTTGGTAATTTGTAAGGGGTTAAATATAAATATTACACTGAAAATTATTTTGAGTAAATAACATCAAACTATAGAAAATATGGGTATATTCGGTACTCCATTAAATACACCCTTCCGATAATTACGTCACAACTACACTGTTTTCAACTTAGGACCACCTTAAAAGTTTTTTCTCATGGGCTATGCACCGATAAGCAGGACATTTTTCTTCAACACATGCATGAAAAACAATTTTGGATTTTGATCAATAAATATGGAAATAAGCATTAACACGAAAACGAGGCTCCAGGTCATGACCTGGAGCCGCGTTTTCGTGTTAAAGCTTATTTCCACATTTATCGGTCAAAATAAAGAATTCTTTTTCATGCATGTGTTGAAGAAGGATGTTCTGCTTCTCTGTACATAGCCCATGAGAAAAAATCTTGAAATCCTTTACATTCAAGGTGACCCTAAGTTGAAAACAGTGTAGTTGTGACGTAATTATCGAAAGGGTGTATTGGCACGTAATCCAGGTACCCCATAAAATTGGCACATAAAACATAAAAAAGCTGAAATCTATTCGCTACTGTTAGTATTAAATTTTATAGATAAAAACGCCTGTTCAGTGGTCAAGCCACTAGTGGTAAGGAGATGTGATAAGTATACGAATCTGAATTGTATATAAAACGTTTTTATCGTTTTTCATTAAAACGACCATCATATCTAACCAAATATCAAACCCAACAAAACGGTAAAATTCCTGCTGATATCATGTAGTCTTCATTGTTGACCATTGAACCAATAATTTAACGAAGAAAAAGGAATATACATTACGATTCGTGTGATGTTTCAAGATTGTATAAAGCATCACTCTTTCCTTTTCTTTTTCCGTCGAGGTTTTTCTGTGGAGGAATCATCGGATTCTGAACTCGAAGACGATGATGACGATGAGTCACTTAAATCACTGCTATCATCACTGCTGCTTTGACTCGAGATATCACTATCACTAGAGCTATCTGATTCTTTTGAACTGCTTGAACTATCCAAAGAACTAGAATCATCTTCAGAAGCTGAACTTGAACTATCAGCATCAGAAGCGCTGGAAAGAAATGACATCATGATACATTATATAGTCAGGGTGTTTTATTTAGGTTTAAAGCCACTGCACGTGACATATTATGGTTGACATGATTTGGCAATAAGCCTATGAATTACTAATGAGTGTTTGAAATCATTATAGCATGTACGCATTATAATTCATTCGCTCATGCATCAAGTGCAGGACCAAATTACTGGCGAAGGCCCCTTGATCAAAAAGTCAAAAGTTTCTTATATTTTGCAGTTAGTTCAGACAAAAATCTAATTTAAACTTGATTTATTTAAATTTAGTTAAACTTGCAAATAACCAGATTTAACGCGTTTATTTTTAATCATGCGTTGCGACATTGAATTATCCAGAAAAACTCGATTGTATATAGACCATCATGATCTCCAGTATATTACCTTGGTTTTTTCCTTTTCCTAATTTTTGTTTGACCATCTTCTTGTCTAGAAATAAATTTTATTACCAATTGACCATTTGCGTAATAGACTAAATTTTCATCTCAACAAAAATTTCATTACAGCTTGAAAGAGCGTCACAAAATTAGTAATATTCCAAAGTTTCGTTGCAAAATATTGTAAAATGCGGAAAATATAGCCTTGCGAAATTTGCAATTTTCAGTCATTTTAGATTACAAACCGGAAATTGACAGCCTCGAAGGGTTTGGGGCTGTCAATTTCCCGTTTGTAATCTAAAATGACTGAAAATTGCAAATTTCGCAAGGCTATATTTTCCGCATTTTACAACATTTTGCAACGAAACTCTGGAATATTACTAATTTTGTGATGCTCCTTCAAGCTGTGATGAAATTTTTGTCTAGACTTGTTTAGTTCAAAATTTAGTCTATTACGCAAATGGTCAATTCTATCATATATATTGTTGAGATTTGCTGATAAAATAATTATTATAACTATAACAACACTATAAATATGGTACGATACAAGAGCAGGATCATGTACCGTACATGTCTTTAAGCCTTCGAAATTTGTTCTGAAATTTGACAGCATGACATCAGGTCAGCTGATGAGTTCGCATTGTACCAGTATAAGTAATCTTGGATTTCCACAAATATGAATATACAGTATGTTGCGTTAGGGTCAGGGTGGGTTGACTTGCATTTTGAACATATTGACGTTACATTGTTAATAATATACATGAAAAAAATACTCAATGTAACAATTACGTGAATATAACAATTTAAGTACAAGGAGCACATAGACTGAAAATGTTTGCTAACAAGCAATGTTTAAATAGCGGAGGTGAGTGCGCATGTGCTATCTAATTTTTCATGTATATCATTAATAAGTAATAGTATGGTTTCTCGTCCAATTTAGAAAAACAAACACCTGTCCTTTGGACTTGTGCAATTTTGATCGTCTTTGAAAAACTCACTTGTGCACGTTTTTTACAAGTTGCAGTCAAAACCATACTATCACCTGTACAGGCTGTACTTAAAAGAATGTGTTCACCACACAATGTAAAAACATTCTTGAATGTAGAATTTGATGGCAACTCCAGGACACCTTGGGAGTATGAAATGTTTGTTTGTAAGGACTGCCGTTGCTATGGTAACCATGCATTTCAATATGTCCACTTTTTCCTTGAAAAAAAATTAGTGAAAATAATTATTTGGCCAACTTTAAAAATTTCAATTAGTGAAAATAATTATTTAGCCAACTTAAAAAAAAATCGCCAGTGTAGATTTTTAAAATTCAACGTTTGAGACACGCCGTGTATCGCTGGTGTATGGATGATTTAGGTAGGGTCGCTGCTTTCTTCATAACAAGGAGCTTAAGCAAGCGACTTTTTTTCAACACGGACGTCAGATAGCCGAGGGGGGACTGGATTAAAGACTGTGTTTTTGTCAGTTTGTGGTAATCGTCAACACATATGACAAAACATAAGATTTTTAACGTTTTTTGTTTCCTTACATGAGCGCTACGATGCAAAATACCGCCAAAATGAGTTATACCAATTTTCGTTACACCAAGCTCCACTAATCTGTTTATCCTGACGTCCTAAAGGTTTGTGCACATTCACATATTTCAAAGTATAACCGCGTTTAGGACACCGATACAGGAACTCAGGAAGCATTGAACAGTGTTTAACTGCACCATAAACATAGATAATGTTAGGCAACACAATGCACTTAAAAAGATAGTCAATCTCGGCTTGGTAATACCCCTCTTTACCTAACTGTCTCAAATTTACATGCAATGTAAACCTGCAATAATACACAAAGACGAATATTCACATTGTGGTATGTTCAAAATTGTTGGAAAAGCCTCCTTTCCTTTTTTACAGTATGAAACGTCTTTGTATTTCTCAGAATTACATGACATGTATTTTCTATCTGTCCAATTCATAAATTAACTAACAAGTTCATTTGAGCAATCCTCGTCATTCCGTACTGGTCATAGAGATTATAAATAACACTAGAGGAGGCATCGAGTTTAAAAATTGGGAACGCATCTAATGGGGGGCAAATTCAAGTCCCGGATATAAAATCGTGCTCTCATTGGCTGATTTGAAACTCGTCACCAATGGGAACACGAATACACATCCGGGACTTGAATTTGCCCCCCAATAGTCGCGTTCCCTTTTTTTTACTGAATTAAGATTACAATGCCTCCTCTAGTGTTATTTATAATCTCTATGGTACTGGTGCTATTATGGTGGAATCGTCAGCATTTTTACAAAGGGTGTCGTCACTATTTTCCTTAAGGTGGGGGTCTACCTAAACTTGCGATATTCCGGTTGACCACATTTGCAAGCCTATTACTCGCCAAGTTTTTTAGATAGCTATACAAAACTATATATCATTAGAAAGCCTATATAGCATAGATTCTAAAAATACTAAGGTCTTTCTCATACCTGTAATATTTATCCTGCCATCTAGTAATTAAACACAGTGCATGTCTCATACAAATCACTGTTAGTTGGGAAAAAATACAGCCTTACAATTTTAATCAAATTTTACCACTAAGAGCTATTTGTTGACTACAAAGCAAGTAGATTGTTTTCAGCGATGGAATTTTTTATGCTGCATGTAGTTTTTGCACAACATTGCTGCAAAATTTTGGTTCGATTTTCTTCCAAAAATCCTGGCATATTTCCTCGATAAAATGGCAGCATTACAACATGTGCCAAATTCTATCGTTGAAAACACTTATCATGATGAGCTCTATTAACACTGAAAATTTCAGCCAGATTGGTCAAATTGGTAAAGAATTATCTTTTTTCAAAGATGAAAAATACCACATTTCGGGAAAACGTCTATAAAGTATAAGTTATCAAATATGAACTACCAACTGTTAAAATATACACTATACTCGATATTTTAGACAATTAAAATTGTGCTGGACATCCCTCATCATCAATTGTCATGTGAAGTCATTTCTTTTTCAAGATTTACTTGTTTATAATAAGAATCCTTTTAAATTTTGATTTTTCTACCATTCCGTCCAAATGTTGTTATGTCTTGCATCACCATTTGGTTTTCCCGCAGTTTGATGGTTGGTTTAAAAGATGTTCCTGAGTGTTAATTAACAGGAAATCCCAATCCAGTTCTCAATTTGTATAGCTAAATTTTCCATCATTTTCTTTGCTGAACCCACTTGCTGCTAACAAGGATGTTTAAGGATGCACACGGCAGTGATGGCACTCATTGTGCTTACCAAAGGTGCATGCAGACCAACATTTTAATACCACAGTTTTTTGTATACAATCAATTGTCGATACCAAATTACATGATTCAATATTAAAATAAAATTATCTGTAACTGTATTCTTGTCCTTTTGCTCCAAGTGGTACATTCGATAAACATATTCAGCCCAAAATAAGCTCTCAAACTTGGTAGGCCTTGACATGTGATTACAGTCCCTAAAATGCAGCACAAAAACAACCTCATTAATATTAATACCAAGAAGCATTAAAATAATAAAATTATAACAATGAAGCAAGAAATAATCTATTGATATCTGTACTAAAATTGGGTAGAGGAAATTGATCTCTTGATATAATGTTGTAAATTTGCAATTTTGCAATAATTACTAATTACATTGTATTAAGAATGATTTGCCCCTTTAATACTGCAACATTTCGACTTATAGTAATATAGTAGAATCAATCATTCAATGATAGAAAAATACTTACATCACAGTTCACCATTCACAGCAACTAAGTGCATCAGAACAAACGTTTGAATATCTGTTTATAAGATGCCAAGAATCCAAATACGATTCGAAGATGACTGTTGACATTGGTATTGAATGCATGAATGTGTTCACGTTTTATCGTCGTCTTTATCGCGCATTTCTTTACCCCAGTGAATAATGTTTCATTTAATGTTTTCTGTGTACCATTGTCCGTTATTTTTAACCAAATGTTAAGAAATATATACACAAAAGTAATCAATATTTACGAAATATTGAAACACATTTTAAAATTTGCTCTGTTTGAATCGGTAGTTCTCGAAAAAACGCATACACGCGCATAATCTTCATGTACCTCCGCTGCAAAATCATCTAGAGATGAGCCTGCATTATTATTTTATATTAGGGAGGGGAGAGACAACAGTATATTAGCAAAAACATGAAAAATATGAAGGATGCTCCCTTTCGTTACCATGGCAACCAAGCTAAAAATTATAGTGAGGTTGTTTAAAACAGCTCCTGGGAGAACAATTTTTTGAATTCAACCAAATAAATACTTTCACAACATCAATTACATGCCACAGTAACTATTTAGCTCAAAAAATGAAAATCGATTTTTTCGAGTGGTTTAGGTAGACCCCCACCTTAATTTCCAGGGGCAGGTTGTATAAAACTCTTAATCACTTTTTTAATCACTATTTTGTAGTTAAATAGTGATTGACTCTCAAATAGGCGCTTCTTATTGGATGACATTTCCACTTAACTATGATTAACTTTAATCACTTTTTTATACAACCGGCCCCTGATCATTAATTACAGAGACCTCTCTGCTGCCTACCTTCAAGAAAGCTAATATACCAATTAATGACATGTTGGTAATTTTTCAATTTATCAACGAGCAGGTTATGTTTGACGGAATCGAAAGCTTTCCTGAGGTGCATACCGAAAAGTCTCACTGCTTTACAGCTCGGATTGCCAAGATAAGCACATTGGCCTCCCCGGGCCAAATTTCCTAGGAAATATGGCCCCCACACCCTTCGGAAATTTGCCCCCCTCTAAAAATTTATAGTTTACTTTATCTTTTGGCTCGGAAATCGCAAAGCTTCTACTAAAACCAAATTTCTAGAAATTTTTCTCAACATTTATAGTTAGTTTGCGTATACTTTTTGTGTAAAAACAAAATTCTCCACTGAATTGCAATACTGACGAGAATTAGGCCAAGAGAATTGCTTACAACACTGACGGATTTTATGTAGCTGCTGCATGTAACCTTTGTTTTTTTTTGCGTGTTTGCGGAATGTTTTTGTGAGTCATCTAGTTTCATCAAATGTGCTTTTCTGTGTGCGAATGTTTTGTGAGCCATGAAGCATGCAGTCTACTTTCGTTTTTACGAAATAACCACTCCTTTGATTTTGTTTTTCGAACAAACGTTTCCTTTTACCCTATATAATGTTAGTACTCCCTGTTATTTATTAGACGCGTGCATATTAACATATTCGCCAACGCATGATGTCATCGTTTGCTAAGGTGCAGTTGTTATTCTAACTAATTTTATACTATGTGACTGAATTTTATAGATCTAAATAACTTGTAACATCTTGGTTCTTGGCCGCAATGAAGAATTTCGACACAAATAAAGTATGCAAACTAACTATAAATACTGACAAACACTTTTAGGATCTTGGTTTTAGAAGAAGCTTCACGATTTCCAAGCTTATAGCGATAAAATAAACTATGTTTTCGAGGGGGCCAAATTTCCGAAGGGGGGGGGGGGCATATTTCCTAGGAAATATGGCCCCAGGCGGGTGGCATATTTCCTAGGAAATATGGTCCGGGGGGGGCAAAGTTTTGGGGGGGGGGGATTTCCTGGGACACCTGACACTATCCTCTCGAATGCTCTGGCTATCACAGGGGTCACATTTATTCCTCGGTAGTCACTGTCCTCCTTTGGTAGATATACTTTGGGTAAGGGATTAATTAATATTAGCCCGTTTCGAAGTAGACCAGGTGTAACTAAGGATAAATTCCAAATTTTCGTTTATTATTGGGGCCAAAATGCCTGAGTAATCTTTCCATATCCAATAATTAAGGCAGATTGTCTGGTCCATTTGCTGTTCTTTTTACTGAGTATAGGCACCAGACATGCTCCTCGCTAACCTTGGGAATTTCCACTTCACCATCGACGTTTAGAAACTCTGGCTTAATGTGGGAATGATCGAAACACAAATTCTCAAAATAATTATTCCTTAATGTATCTTTATCAAGTGTAATATTGGCAGAGCAAGATTTTCGCTGGGAAATAACATTAATCCCTTTCCACCACCGACGGCTTTCAATGCGATCTACAGAAATTCAATTTTCATAAGATAACGATAACCTGTGATATTCTCATGTCAATTGTTCTGAGCCACTCTGTATTAAATTTGGAAACTCTCGCCTTAAGGCTCACACAGACCAGACGCGATTCGGCAACGCGACGCGAATTTTCAGTTTTCAAAAACAAATAAAACTCGTCAACGGGTAAAATTTTTACAAGATATGCAGACCAAATAGCTAAAATTGCTTAAGTGGTCCCGAATATTTGAAAAACATTGAAAAATATTAAAGTTAAATGTCATTGAAAAATGAAAATTCGCGTGGCGTTGCCAAATCGCGTCCGGTCTGTATGGGCCTTTAGTCTTAAGCATCGATTTAAGCAGAGGTGTCATTCAAATTGGATCTCATATCAAGGGCATGCATCTGTTCATAAGGCTCTCAATTTTCTTTTCCAAGAGATTCACTGCTTGATCTATATCTTCCAAATTCAAAACCTCATCCCACGTTTCGGCACAACGTCAACGAGCTTGGTTGCATGCATGTGCAAGGTAATTTTTCGATGTTCTCTACAGTCGCGTATACAAACTTTGTGCCTGATTGGTTTTAATTTATGTACTTGCTGGTAGTATATGATGTCTTTATGATCTGTCATCATTAAGGTTTGAAAAGGGCAGCACTTGCAAAATAATTCTGGACAACTAGACGATTATAGTCAAACAATTATCTAGGCAGGCATTTCCTCTAGTTGTGAAGTCCACCAGTACCTCCCAACCAGACAGAGCATGCAGGATTCCCAAGTCAAGTCGATTTAGGTCCCCACCTAACTCTAGTGTGTCATCCACAATGTTAATAAGGTATGGTACGGCACTTCATTAATTCACTTTCCTGGTAAGTATGCTGGAGGAGGGGGTTGTGAATACCACACACTAACATCTGTTGGCCTGTGGATAATAGTAATGTTAGTCAAAAAGTTCATAATTATAAAGTTGATGGATAGGTGTAAGTAACTGTAATATTGTTCCTAACATAGATTGCAACACGTCCTTTGGATTCTTAAATCTCTTTCCAACCAATTTCTGTCTCTCAAATACACTGAAAAATTCTGCATATTAATTAACAACAGCATTGAGAATATCCCATTTTTGATGGGTTTCTGAAACATCACATACATCAATATCACTATTAATTACGTCAGCCTCCAAAGCCACAACGGTTGATTAATTATTCTCACTAATTGAAAATGTTTACTGTAACAAATGAAAAACGTGGTCACAGGTCATCGCTGTTTTTTTTTTATTAAATTAGGTTAAAACCAAAACATCGGCCATATTGAAACATCATGGTTACCATGGGAACAGCAGTGACATCATATATGCAAAATATTTATACTCGTCATGTAGCATTTTCTAAAACTCAGATACTATTTGCTTTTCAACAAGTAACCATTGTTCAAAAATTCCTCCCTGAATGGTAAATTTTCCTCTTGCCAAAAAACAGTAGGAAGCCCCCTTAAAAGTGCTTTCCACTCTTGCTCCACAGAGAAACTGTTCATACAAACAGCTCCTCTCCAAGGGTAGAACACCAGGCTTTATTACAACTGAATGCAACACTTCCAAGTTATGACATTTAATGTATAGGGCAAATTTTAGTTCTGTATTTCAGATTTTAAAATCATCCTTGAGCAGGAAAATATGAAAACATATACATATCAAGGTATTTTTTAATACCATGGACTGGTGGGACATTTGCCCCACTGGACCCCTTCCTCTGCCCAACCACTGAAGAATAAAAATGGCCTATTGCCCCAAAGCCCGGGTCCTAGGACCTGTACAACCTCATTAAGCCCTGGGAACAACGTTGGGACCTGTATTGAGTAAATTAGTTTAACATTGAAAAGAAGTTTAAAAACAAATTTGTTGGTGAGCACACATAAACTTAGGTTGCATACTATCCTGGGGGGAGGGAAAGGAAAAATGGGCTGTTTGGCAGTTTTGCCCCACCACTGAAGAATTCTTAAAAATGCACTGATACCTATAGTCATGAAATTGGAATCATGCTCTCCTGGTGTTTGGTTTGCAATTGAAATGACGAGATACACCTAGTTTGCAGAATATGTGCGTATTTGTTTATTCCACAAAACCACATTTTAATTTGTCTAAACTGATACACTGAACGGCCAGTGCAAACGTGAAAATTGAGGTAGCAAGAGTGAAAATGAGGTACAGTTAATCAGGAGTACTGCGTTAATACGAGGAATACTGTAATATATATACTACAATAATACACTTTATTGTAGTATTATTGTAGTATATATTACAGTATCCCTTGTATTAACTTAGTACTCCTGATTAACTGTACCTCATTTTTACTCTTGCTACCTCAACAAATAATATACACATGAACATTAAACAGCAAATTGTAATATCTAAGGGGCTGTTTATATGAGTCGAGCCAGCTCGGGTACCCGAGCTAGCTCGCTCTAGGCGGGATCCCGTCTTTGTTAATATTTCCTACTAAATTTCATGTTGTGTTTATATGAGAACCGAGCTGGCCCGCCTAACCGAGGTCCCGCTTCGTGTGACCCGAGACCTCGGGTAAACGGGCTGGGTAGTTTTCCATATAAACGCAACAGGGAGGGCTAGCCCTCCTAGTAGGGCTGGAAATTTAGCAAATACGCATGCGCAAATAATTAGAATAATTCAGAATGCACAAACAACTCCCATATAAGGAAACAACTTCCATATATGGAGTTGTTTACGCCAAAAAAAATTAGAACAAGAAGAGCCAGCCCTTGATGTAAGTTCCATGTAAACGTGTGGTGAAATTCATCTTGGGGATACGAGCCAGCTCGGGTACCCGGGCTGGCTCGCTTCCATATAAACAGCCCCTAAGAGGTGAGCCCGCAACTTTTTAGTGCATTACCAGAAATCCTGAAGCAAACTTAGGCTTACTTAGCAATTTCCCCAGAGATCCAGGGGGACATTTTCCTCTAACACCCCTACTGGGACTCCCAGTCAAGTGACTGCTGCACATATAGCTCTCAGTGATCAGGGCCACAGAGAGGGGGGGCAGGGGGGGGGGCAAATTGCCCCGGGCCCCGAGGTGCTGGGGGCTCCTGAAAAGTTTTTGTTGGGCCCCAGTTTTGTTGTGTGTTAAATATTTCCGCACAAAGGACAAGATATCTGTTTTTTTGAGCTAAGTACCGAAATTTGGCATGAAAAAATGTGATAAAGTCAATTGCAATGTACTTGTCCGGAAAATTTTTTTACCTAAAAAGTTGTTGACGGGGGGGGGAGGGGGGGGAGGTTGTTCTCCGGAAAAAAATTTTTTCGGAAACATTTTTTAGATAGGGTGATCGCTAGATAGTATACTTCAAAATAAGGTTTCCGTTTTTATAACGTAGAAAAAACTATCCTAACACAAAACTAAACCCTAACCCTAATACTAACCCTCACCCTAACCCCAACCTAATCCTAACCTAAACCCTAACCTAACCCTAACTTATTTTAATTATTTTAAAAATTGATATAAAAAACGGAAACCTTATTTTGAAGTATACTATCTAGCAATTGCCTTTTAGATAGGGGCCCCTACAAAAAAATTTGCCCCGGGCCCCCGCCAACCTCTCGGCAGCCCTGTCATAATATGCACTTTGCCAATTACTGCTAAACAAATACAAAATGTAAAGTTCCATACCGGTTTTTAAGTTCTATTTTTTTCTTTTGTTCTTTATTCATCACAGTCGTTCTAGAAGGACGGTGTAGATATTTACGTTTATTCGTGCACTGATATGTCCAATGACCAACCTCTAAGCATTTCTGACACTTTTGATTGCTAGCTTCTAACGCACTAAAATGGTAGAATATAGAGTATATTAATACACGTGATTATAAAAATGTGACTTCCGCGTAGAAAGTAATTTTACCGTTTCTTTTCTAGGATAAATCTTCGTGTAACAGACGCCATGTTTTATCCACTTTAACAAAATGTTAAATACGTCATATAACAACATATGAAAGTCGCGATTTTCCATGTTATTGACACGGCGCCGGCGAAGGTTGCGCCAGCCGCCAAAGTGCCAGTAATTGCCAACATACGCCAAAGCTGTTTACTCATTATTTTTCCTGCCAGTACTATTTTAAAGCAAAATCAATCCTATTTCCTTTGAAGCTTAAAAAATAGGGGGGAAATTAAATCTTCACAACTGATCTTGATTTACTTTAGTTTTGTATTTCGCCGGTGTCCCAGCAGATTTGGACCCCCCTCAAAATGGACCCCCCGGTCCAAATCCGCTAGCGAATATGGACCGGGGAGTCCATATCCGCTAGCGAATATGGACCTACAGGGGTCTTTATTCGCTAGCGGATTTGGACTCCCCTCGCGAATTTGGACCCCTCGCATATTTTATCATTGCAACGTATCGTATTTTGAATATTGTACTGAAAGCGTTTCAAATCGTCATAAATCTCATCTGATTTATTTTAAAAACCGTACGAAGATTTTTAGATCATCAAATCTTACATTCTTAGATGAGAGAATTCCGTCAAAGTTTATGATTTCTAATTTTTCTGCTACACTATGATGAGTTTATTTCTTATGATCTTGGAATGTGCGAGACTACTGAGAAGCGCATGAAGCCTTCACAAGTATTTTACTCCTTGGAATTGCTATCTGCTCTGACTCTTAACTGTAAACTGCTCAAATAAAAACGAAAAATGAAAATATAGGCAAATTATTTTTGCCTTAACATACCCATAACAAAGTGATGCATTCCCTTCCGGCCCCTAAACTTTTATAGAATTAACATCTCAATACTTGTTTTCGTCATTAAGCAAATTCCAAGATTGTTGAGTCTGTCATGCCATTAGTTACCATAATTTAAATTAAACTGACGCCGAAATTTCCACGCACATTCAACGGCAAATCAGCTAGCGGATATGTACCATAGGGGTCCGAATCCGCTAGCTGATATGGACCGGGGGGATCCATATCCGCGGGGAGTCCAAATCCGCTACGACACCGTCAAGCTGCCAACAATGACACAACCCCCACGCCGGATATCTCCAGAAAATTGTACATGGAGTCCACCCTGGCCAAAGTATTCCAATCGAGTGTTAATTACCCGTTTAATACCCCTCGAACGGATTGGTCGCACTATAATTGTTAGCATCAATATAAATAATAATAATGAGTCATTTTCAGTATGTATAGCGTACAAACCTATATATAGCGTAAAAATGTTAAAACTATAAGAATAAAAATACATTATGCACTATTTAGAAACAAGTTAAAAAGATATTTCTTAAAAATGGTTACTGATTCGCTCTTCCTATAAAGATGGAGAGGCAGTTCATTCCATAATCTTGGTCCAGCATGCAACACAAACTATCTCCATATGTCTAAAGTATGTCTTTAGTCTAGAGTAAGGAATCTGGAGCAGTTTACGTTCCAGTGGCGCCGCCAGCTCGATAATTGGGGAATATTCCCCCCCCCCCCCAATTATCGAGCTGGTGGCGCCGCAAACTTTTTTCCGTAGAAAGTCGGACTCCTCATTGATAGTCGGACGCATCATTGATCCGCGCCCTTAAACAAAACATTCAGAGGATACTTTCTTTTTGGATGCGACTTCCAAGTGTGTCTTGCGCACGCAATGGACCATTTGCATTATAGACTAAATTTTGATCTAGACAAAAATTTCATCACAGCTTGAAAGAGCATCACAAAATTAGTAATATTCCAAAGTTTCGTTGCGAAATGTTGTAAAATGCGGATAATATAGCCTTGCGAAGTTTGCCGTTTTTCAGTCATTTTGTATTACGCACGGGAAATTGACAGCCCAATCGGGTGTTGGGGCATCAATTTCCCGTTTGTAATACAAAATGACTGAAAATTGAAAATTTCGCAAGGCTATATTATCCGCATTTTACAACATTTCGCAACGAAACTTTGGAATATTACTAATTTTGTGATGCTCTTTCCAGCTGTGATGAAATTTTTGTCTAGACTTGTTTAGATCAAAATTTAGTCTATAATGCAAATGGTCCATTGGTTATTTCAAAATATTGTATTGCTTGGTTGAGATGTCAAAATCTGAGAAACCGGACACATTGTGGTTTCATCACTTGTGTGGTGATGACATCTGACAAATTTTATTAAGTTATATTCGCCATCATCCCATTTGCTTTTCTTCGCTTTTGTAATTGTTTTGTGTAACTCTTTTCTTTGCTGTTATCTTAACCTGATTCTCTTCAATTGGGATGATAATAATGATATATAGTTTTAATTCTCAATACTGACAGTTCTTGAGTATTTTCGGAGCCAGAAAAACAGATTTGTAGATTTGCTAGCTATGGCATCGCGAAGCAAATCGTTCATCTTTATACACGCGGACGAAGAAAAACAACTTTGTCAACGTGGAATGGTGGGTATATGGTGCACCAGTGGGTTACGCAAGGTACGAAGGGATTGATCGATAACGCGTGGAGGCCTGGACGCAGATCAATGATGCGTCCGACTATCAATGAGGAGTCCGACTGTCTACGGAAAAAAAAATTGCGGCGGCGCCACTGAGCAGTTCTTTACTAGTTGATCGAAGTGTACGCTGCGAGGTGTGACAATGCAAGCAAGTTCCTTCAGATACGATGGGGCAAGATCATTAACAGCTTTGTAGATCTTGATATTTTCTTTTCCTTGATATTTGGTATAAAATCATTATTAAAACTGATATGTTTGTTTTTGACTTGCGTAAAACCGTTTTTGACAGGTTTGAGCACGCAGGCAATGTGACACAAGTGAAGATTTCAAAGAAACTTAAATTACATTTGTATCAAGGTTTCTGCCCTACTGATAATTTTCTGCGTTTTCTCAATGTCAAAATCACTTTCTAACAGCATTATTAATACCAAAGATATTCTATCTAAAACAGAGTGTATAAACCAAACGTATAGTATACGAGAATTTTAGAACGAAACAGCATAGCAATTTTACAAAAAGGAGATTTTCTCATGGTCGTATCATAGGCAGACCACTAAACGGCTGAATTTATTAAATTAAAACTGCAGTGAAAATTATAAATTTAACGCAAATAATCACATAATTAGCGAAATATATTGCGAAATGTAGCTTATATTAAATCTCCACCCGATATACGTCAGTTCGCCGATAGTGCAATCGGGTGGCGATTTAATATAAGCTACACTTAGCAATATCTTTCGCTAATTTGTGATTATTTCCGTTAAATTTTATAATTTCACTGCAGTTTTAATTTAAATTCAGTCGTTTGGCCTGCCTATGGTCGCGTATCGATATTATTCAAATTCCGTGGCTACCAGGCAAATTCTGTTTTTTTCTGGTGACATTGAACTAAACCCTGAACCAGGATGGCAAGGCACTGACAGATTGACAGTCGTAAAGAAGACTATTTGCAACATTTGTTAAATCTTTAGACAATTCATCATCAAACTTAAGAATAGCGCACATCAATATTCGTAGTCTTCGCAACTCGTAAACTGGACGAAATCAAACTATTATTACAAGTATGCCGTTTTGATATTCTGTCAATCACTGAATCAAACCTCGATCAAAATATTTCAAACCAACAATTAAATATCGAGAACTATAAAATAGCTGGAAGGGACAGAGAATCTCTGTCAGAGATACCGGTCCTAGAAGTGGTTGCATTGTGTATGTTGCAGACCACATTTGTTTTTCTACACTAAAATCTGTAGAGACGCGCGAAATTGAAGGAATATGGCTCAACGGTTAACTCGAGTTCAATCGCACTTGGAACTGTCTATACTGGCCTCCATAAGATTCGAGCTTCTTCAATAACTTCTTCATGGTTTTGGAACAAGTCTGGAGAAAATATAAGAATGCTTTAATTGTTAGTGATTTAAACGCCAACATTTCTCGATTGGACAACGGTGATATCTGGTCAATACAGAGTAAAAAGCTACTTAGAACATTAGATCATTTCAATTATTCAATAATGAATGACCAACCCACTAGAGTTACAACATCATCTTCGACTCTTATTGACCTAGTATTTGGTTTTAGCATTTACAGTATTCAGCAAATAACTCTTGATTATGCGATGTTTTGGCTTTCAAGAATGTTCTGTATCTTAAATTCATTAAATGTCGAATTTGTGGAGAAATCCAGGGTAGCGAATTTTGTCTTATCTTTACCTGTCTATATAAGGTGCATGTGTCTGACAGATATCGTTGAAAAGGTGACACCAGGCCCAGTAGACATCGTCCACATCATCAAATACTGAGCATGCAGACCAAGGTGCTTCTTCGATATCTTTTCAAAATTGTTCTAAGTTGAACTTACTGTAAGTTCGTGCATTAATTATTTTTGGTGGTGGTCTTTTAAGCTTGGTTTTCAGGGAAACATATATTAGCATGTGATCAGATATTCCTAATTCCAAGGATTTCTTTGCTTTGATTGTTTCAGGTTTGCTTGAAATTACATGGACCTTTTTAACGAAGTTAAAGCTGTAAATCATATTGGAAACAGTTAAAAAAAATTGTGAACTTCACAGGGCTATATAATGGTATTTCTAGCCATGTAAACGAAACATATTAATATAATTCGTTCTTCCCCAGCTAGGTCTGTATATCTTACCAATTTCAGAACAGTCAGATCCTTTGAAACCAGAAAGACATTCACATTTGAAACATTTTACTCCATCATCAGTACAATTTCCTCCATTTTTGCAGGGTCCACTGTCACATGGTGTAACTGGAAAAAAAGATTCTGCTAGGATTTCTGTTGTAAACTAGAAACTTATATCTGCAGCTATAGGACTCGGCTGAAGTAGTTTGTCTTGAAGTGTCAAGGTGCATGTGTCTGACAGATATCGTTGAAAAGGTGACACCAGGCCCAGTAGACATCGTCCCCATCATCAAATACTGAGCATGCAGACCAAGGTGCTTTTTCGATATCTTTTCAAAATTGTTCTAAGTTGAACTTACTGTAAGTTCGTGCATTAATTATTTTTGGTGGTGGTTTTTTTAGCTTGATTTTCAGGGAAACATGTATTAGCATGTGATCAGATATTCCTAATTCCAAGGATTTCGTTGCTTTGATTGTTTCAGGTTTGCTTGAAATTACATGGACCTTTTCAACGAAGTTTTAACTTCGAGCTTTAAAAAGCTGTAAATCATATTGGAAACTGTTAAAAAATGCCACCAATAAGGAATTCGATCGAACCAATACTCGGTATAAAAGATGAAGACGGAAAGATCATTACATCAGAGTCGAACTTGCGGCCCTGCGATTCTGGTGCAGCGCTATAACCAACTGAGCTATAGACTAGAGACCAGAGATCAGGAGCAAAAATTGTTGAGACATCCTATTCGCCCCCCACTTCCCCCCAAAACAATGTTGTTTTCATGATACCAAACCACAGTATTGGCTGAAAAGATTCACCCAACATTGTCAATGGGGGAGGGGGGAAATAGTGAGAAAAGATCGAATTATATGAGTGTAGATGTGTCAAAATGAAAAAAAAATGTTTGAAATACGTAAAGTCTTATTATTTTTGCACGTGATCGCAGGTAACTATACGCGACTGCCATGTATAGGTTATGGGTACGTAAATATCAAGATTTTGTTGGCATCTCACTCGATTGAATAATAGTTGAAGGGTCTTGTAGATGGAAATTGACGAGTGGAAATTTATATGTATTTATTAGACTTTCATTAGATTTTTTGCAGCTGTTCCTGGTTAGGTCTAATAAATGTATATAAATTTCCACTCCATAATCCCCATCTGCAATACCCTTCAACTGCTGTGTGTATCGCCCAATGAAAATGAATATAACTGGAACGCTAGTCCAACTGGAAATTTGAAGGCAAACTTAATTGAATGCCTGATCAGTCAATCACATTAAAATGAATACAACTGGATCGCTACCTTCAGGTAAACTGCCTATCTTTTTCTGGAAGCCAAATCTATCTATCTATGTAATTATCTATCCATCTATTTTATGCAGACCTTGCGTAGCGACGTCGAAAATGTCATCCATGCACAAAGAATACGTATATACTTGACAACGTTCTATTTACTTTATTGACTGTTTGTTTCGAAACCATCTCAACAATTCATTTTGCAACACAAGCTCTTGCTATTCATTAAAATTACATGATTTGTTAAATTACACCTACTCTGAACTTTATCGAATCAACCGTGATCGAATTGATATCGGCATCTTGATCGGCAACTAGATCGGTAAAACAAACTTAGCCCCCCACCCGTATACTTATACGTAAAATTTTTGTTATCTCGATCCCAAAATCTAAAAGACACGTGACCAGCCTAGTCCATGAGGGTTCCTGTGACAGGCACAACAACATTAACGACCAACAACAGGCGCGCAATGCAGCAACAAACCTTCAAGGACCACCAGCGAGCATAGAATGGATCCTTTGTCAAATTTATCCAACATGTCAGCGATGACGTCAGGTGAAACCGTTTATTTAGTGAAAACTGAAGACGCTTTACATGAGTAATATTTATTATTAATTCAAATTAATTAAATAAATACAACTGAATACAGAACATTGACTGCTAGTGAAGCGCATTAATGGACTGATAATGAAATATTCATACTCGGTACCCAGAACGCAAGCCGTTTACGTAAAATGTTTCAACCTCATTAGGTCTGAATTTATATGTGCCAGCGAGAAGATTCCTCACCCTGGCTGTGCCGTATGAATATCCACTTGGTGGTTGATAGGTATGGCCAAGGTTTGTGTAGGAACTAGTACCTGCATTGGCGTTATTTGAAATATGAATATCATGGCCACCGCCGAATGTAGGACCGTAACCAGCATTAGTGTATACAGCATTTCCACTGTTCCTGTAGACAGGGGATTTGAAGGGCGGGAGGTTGTCTTTATTCACGAAGGAGAAGATAAATGCTCTGGTACTGGCTCTGTAACCTGTCGAACCTAAAGTAAAATTACAAAAAAGATTAAAAGCAAATTCATATAAATATTTTTGAAAAATATTAACTATATAATAGCATTTGAGTCTGGCATGAAGACAGTTAAAACTCGAGTTACAAGTTTATTGAATTGAAATTGTTTTTAAATCGACTGGAAGGATTTTATTGGAAAAACAATCCAAGATGATGGCAGCCCATGCAATAATTGGTTTACTACAATAGGCATTTCTTGTATTAATATTTCTCTCGTTGAGTAACCTAATTCTGCCAATGAGCCAGACTGCTTTTTAAACTAACCTCCAAAAGCAACATCGCTATATGCGCCAAAGATATAGGATCCAGAACGGATGATGGTGACAGTTGGGTGCTTATGATCACATCGAGTATGGAAAGCAGATGCTGCAAAACCAACATCAGTAGCACGGTAACATAACCTCCACGACTTTGCGCCACCAAGCCATTTCTTTAACTGAACAATGTATCTTTTATTCCGATTCAAAATTTTGGAGCCATACAGATCATCTGTAACGAAGAACAAGCGTCAAATTGTCCTACTTAACATCACAAAAACTGCGAAGAATGCCATCTTGTAAACTCACGTAAGTTGTTGATAATAAACACAAACTGACACGAAATGGGATGTGATATTTATCTCAGAGTCATTGAGTTTAAATAAAGTCGAAACGATATTGTTGATTACTGACTGCACGAAGATGGCGTTCCGAGTGTTTTTGGAATCAACTTGGGTTTTTTTAGGAATACCAATCCCATTCCCGAATTTGCTTGAGTGCGGAAAATGAGATAATATGGTCCAGGTTCCCGACGGAAATAACTTCGCTATATACAACTTAAATACAGTAGGATCTTCTTCTTCTTGTTACATGTGCATCTAATTCAGAATCTATAGCTCCATGGATAAATGCGAAATAATTCAGAACAATGAGTTAATGGATAGTATGTAGAAATAGTAGGATTTAATGGATTTTTGAAACAATGAAAAGACAATGGAATGAGACTTTCCGATCATTCGATCAAGAGTGGATAGAATATTCAATATTAACTGTTATATGCAGAGGCGTAGCTACAAGGGAAGTGGTTCTGGACCACCCACCGTCCCATTCTTTCAAAGGTGAGGAGAAACGAGGGGGCGTAACCTTTTAATGTTTTTCATCATGCATGACATAAAATACACCACTGAATCTGTGTCTTTCAAATTATCATGAAATGCATGAAATAGCATTTTGCAGACGCTAAAAAAAGAAAATTGTGCCCCTGGACAAGCTAACGATTTGTCCCTCCCCTTACTTGTTTGAGGCTAGTACCGTACTACGCCCCTGGTGTTATGCTATGTAGGTGTTGTACAAACGACACATTGACCAACTGAAGCAAATCACCTCTCCTATCACAAAACATTCCTCCATATCCCTCTCTACACTTGCATGTAAACCTTCCTTCTTCTTCATTAACACAAATACCATTGTTTTTACAGGGTTTAATTTCGCACGGTTGAACTAAAAGAATATTCAAAATAGTATTCAAAACAAGAGCGCACTGGGTAGTTATCCATATTTCATCTCCAGTATAAGTACATTTATCATAATACAATATGGAATATAATAGTTCCAAATTAAAAGAATTTGCAGTATCCTCTGTATCGATATCTTGGCCTCATCAGTACAATACTCAAAAATAGTTATTTTTCCCGCGCGTAATACAAATACCCGTAAACCTCCGACTATAAGCCCTGGGCTTATATTCTTTCGTAAGCGATTTTTGATGGGCTTATACAAGGGGTGCGAGCTTATATCCGGGGGGGAGGGTTATATATGGGCGATCTTTTGTGTTAGTGTAATAGTGATAAACAAGTATAGTAATGATAAACAAGTGTTAAGCATAGTAATAATAGTGATTAATAGTGGTAATAGTGATAAACAATAATGATAAACAATAGTAATAAACAAGACAAGTGTGTTTATATTCGGGTGGCTGGGCTTATATTCGGGGGGGGGGGCTTGTATTTGGAATGAGGTGAGCGTTAGTACATGTGGTGTACGATACGGGCGAAGTGGAAAACCGGCTTGGGCTTATACACGGGGGGGGGGGCTTATATTCGGAGGTTTACGGTATACAAAATTTGTGAACTTCACAGGGCTATAATGGTATTTCTAGCCATGTAAACGAAACATATTAATATAATTCGTTCTCCCTCAGCTAGGTCTGCATATCTTACCAATTTCAGAACAGTCAGATCCTTTGAAACCAGAAAGACATTCACATTTGAAACATTTTACTCCATCATCAGTACAATTTCCTCCATTTTTGCAGGGTCCACTGTCACATGGTGTAACTGGAAGAAAAGATTCTGTTAGGATTTCTGTTGTAAACTAGAAACTTATATCTGGACTGCAGCTATAGGACTCGGCTGAAGTAGTTTGTCTTGAAGTGTCAACAGGCTTCAATTGACCCAACACTGACCTAAGACCAATGTGGGGTAAATTGAGGTCGTGCGTTGTTTAACACAACTTTAGGGAGCCATTATAAACTCTTGGTAACATTGGTTGAACTTGCTTAGACAAAATTTAGGTTGGGTGACCGGCTGACTACCTTGTGCTTAAAATAAAAGTTGTTTGGTTAATTTTCTCCTGTTTTTCGAGGGTCTTCAATTCCAGATATTCCTTCTGGCTCACGAAACTCTTAGCGGGCCTTAGTTGTCGACGTCGAGCACGTGTGGCACGAGCCTCTGGTAATTATGGTGACTTGGGAGCAACTATGTATAAACGCCATTAAATGGGTAATGAAATAAATATTTGAATATCTAACCTCTTTGTTCACACAAGATGCCTTTGTGAATAGCTGTACAAGTACATGTGAAAGTTCCGTCTCTGTTTTCCGAACACTTTCCTCCATTTCTACAAGGACGTGCTTCACAAGGTCTCACTAGAGGCATAAAGAAAATTCACTTATTATCTATATATTGTTTCCTAAATAGGTTTCTATGTCAATTAGAGTGCATGTAGTACTAAAATTATTCCTAAAGTGTGTCTCTCTCAAAACTGTAAAAATCTCACAACTTGTCAACAAGATGTGTTCGCAACAGGCTTGTAGCAAGCTTGTCAACAAGTTGTAACAATGCTGTTATTTTATCAAGTTGCTAAAAGGTTGTCACTCACAACTTGTTGACAAATTGTCGAATTGCAGGATGATATGAAGTTGTTGGAACAACTTGTAACAAATCTGTTGAGCTCAACAACCTTGTAGCAAGAGTTGTCAAGAAGCCGTTGACAACTTGTCAACAAGCTGGGAACAAGCAGTGCGAACACATCCTGTTGACAAGTTGTTGCAACAGCATTGCTACAAGTCTGCTACAGGTTTGTTACAGCTTGTGCGCTTTTACGTGTGTAGTTGGAACACTCTAGAGCTCGAAATCTCCATCATCAACTCTCATCCTCGTTTGACCAGGGGTTGACTGAATCGTTACTCTGATACCTTAAACCGCTTACCTCTCTGACTGCAGTCATATCCCTTGAAGCCGGAACCACAAGTACAAACTTGGTGATAGGACCCGCCCGCAATCCCTCCATTTTTGCACGTCTCGTTCGCTGCAGTCGTCACAGAGATCCACACTAAACAATAAAATTGGAAACATTATCATTGGAACCATGTTATTTTGATGAAGAAGATATTATATTTATATAACTATATTAATAGCAAGTATAACGTACTTTGTGCTAGCAATATTAATGATCTCAGCTCTTTGTACGATTCCTTAATTAAGCTCATTAGTATATAGGGGGTATATTGAATATTGGCGTTTAAGCTAGTTCGAATATAAATATTTCTGGTAAATGAATATAATTCCGGTGTAAATATTAATTTTTGAAATATAGGCAAAAATAGCAGTATTCAATGTTAGAGAATAAATATTTCGCATAAACTATGCTGTACAACAGTTTACTGAATTTAGCATCCTGCATATGTTGAATTTAACTATCGTAAAAATAATGTCAGTTTACCTGCTAGAACTAGAGTGGTTGCTAATAACAAGCGATTAAACATCTCAATCCTGCGAAAAAATAAATGATGTATAAGAATAAAAAAGTAAGAGAAACCGCATATGCTATACATATAAAACTTATAGATTGTACAACAAGCAATGACTCTAATGTAGTCATTATTAAATAAAGAGTAGCTTCGACACGCTGGTTTGGGACACAGTGCAGCACTGCAGGTGGTCATGCAGAGTGACTAAATTGTTCACTATAATGTGTTTCGATAAGTGATGACAAATTAGTTCATTTCATGGGATCGTTCCTGTCAATACAATGCTTGCACAATATAAATAAAAACCATCTATATAAAACACACAAATTAGGCTACATAATTAAACTGTTTATATAAAACATACCTTATACTTCAGCAACCGTTCAAGTTTCTGGTTAATACCTTCAGCAGGCTATGGATAAATGTGAGGACATGAACGCCTTTTATACGTACGCACTGGGGATGTTAGATTATAATTGACATTGGAAATTAATTTATTTTAGTTTTCACTTCAGAAAAAGGCTGTTTATATCCAAGTATGTAGACTTCCTTTTGACGTAAAAGCTCATTTCAAAGAAGCTTATTGAGACAAAGAGACAACTGAATCTTTTTCAACGAGAACAGGATTATGTCAATGTTTGCCGCCGTAAACAAAATATGCACGGCATGCAGTTTTGGTTAGGTTATATTGATCATTCGTCTTGATAATAATAAATTATGTATAATTTTTTCCGAAACTCAGAAGCTGTTAAAAATAGCACTCGATACTATAGTTAGCAT